GGCAGAGATCATTGTAAGCAATCCTAGCGGGAAGGACGATGGCGATGGAGTCAGGGCCGCGCCTAGCATTAACGCAAACTGTTCGCTCGCTTGGGGGTTGAGGAACTATGGTAATCCGATCGTGCCTGGGCCCGGGCCACACTGGCTGATAGGCCTGCAGGTTCCATCCCGGGGTACCGTCCCGGTATCTGGCCCAGACTTCATCGAGCCGAGTCCGCGCATCGACAGTATGTACCCCATGTGCCCCAGACCATGGGCATAGCAAGGAGAAGCGGCTTTGTCGCCTACAGCTGACCTCTTGCGATGTGCGTGCCGAAGCTGAGGCTCGCCAGGGATATGCATGTAGGCAATAGATGGGTCGGCGGCTAAAGTCTGGCTGGTCGGGGTCACCATTCATGGCAAGGCTACCTTGCGAGCATATTATCGCTAAGGCGCACCACCTCCAGTGCGCAAACAGACAGAGGATCCCAAGGCTAGTAGCATGCATGGAAGCGGCGGCGCTAACCGGCTGCGGCGGTGGCGGACCGAAGGGCCCAAAGCTGAGCTGGAGGCAGTCTCCATCACGGTAGTGTGCTGAACCCGGCGAGGACCGCCTCGCATGGTATGGAACAACCATTCGACCTTGCCGGCCTTGCACCGAGATCCTGCTAGGCCCTCCTCGTGGTTGGATGCGCGCAATACACATCGGCTGGAGAAGATCTGGTCCCTGCATTAGAACAGCCGCCAAGTCTGGATCAGCGGCACTAGGCATGAGATGAACCGCCGAGGTGTCTGGTTGAGGCTGAACACAGACTATCGGCTGCCAGCCAAGCCGTCCTGCATAATCCCCCATTGTGTGCAGGAAAACATCTGCCGTGCCTTGGACACATGACAGCAAGCGGCGCGAGGAGCTGCTAGTGAAAGGATTGTGCATGACAATGGGGCATCCAGACGGGAGAAAAGGTTCATAGCTGGCAGGTGATTCGTCCCTTACCGGGATGCCGTTAAGTGCACACGCGACCCTGTATTGACATCTAGCAATGCCGTTGGCGTCAAAGGAAATGCGTCCTGGCGAGAGACGTTCGTGTCCCGGGACGTGCGTACTGGAGAGAGCTTCATTGCCGGGCGCAGTCATGTAGAGTCCCTGGGCAGTCTCAGAGACGGCCGGGTCAGGGGTAGGGGCAGCGAGGTCGTGCGGAAGATCAGGGCTGCTGGGTTCTGCTGGGCCGGGAGCATCCTCAGCATCGCTGCCCATGACACTGTCGAGGAAGCAGGCCGTGTAGCACCAGGTGTTGGCAGCTAACGTGCGTGTAAGCCCGACACAACTAGCAATGCAAAGGAGCTTACGAAGTCCGAATCCATTTGCTCGCCGATTGGCAGTGCTGGCCGGGTGAGCAGGGCCTGCGTCGGCTGACCTTGGGACGGGACTTGGTGTAGCTTCACCTGCGAAAGGCAGGAGGCCCGCTGTTTCCAGTCTAGCGGTGAGGACACGAAGGTTGTGACTAACGTCCTCAACTTGTCTGGCTAGGCCGCGCCACGTGTTCTCGCCAGTCGTTGACGTACCCTCGGCACTGACATGGGCCCCTGGACTCTGAGGCACGCCGCCACCAGTAGCTGTATGCGTGTTCGCAGCGATAGCCGTCTCACCGCCAGTACCCAAGCAGATGTCATAGTCAAAAGGCGAGACACACTGAGGCTCATGGGGACTTTCCCAGGCAGAGATGGCGGCTGATGGCTGAAGCGAGGTCCGCACAAGGTGCAGAATAGCGCCGTGGCAGGGAGTTGGGAGCTGAGATCCGTA